GCCGAGCACAACACCAGATGATGCAAAAATTCTATCACAGATCCGAGGCTATATAGGCCCACAGAGGATGGGTCAACTATTTCAAATTTGGCAACGTGCCTCTATGGGTACTCATGCTACGACAGAGGTTGAAAGAATTATTGGTCCCATGAACAGTTCGGGGTCCAAGTCCGTTGAAAATTCGTCTCAGTCCGGAATCATCACAAATAGCTCGATGACAACGCAACAGCCTACCCTCCTCTCACGCTCGAATGATCCAGAGTCACTAGGCATGGCTGAGCCACAGGGCCCGAGATGGAAAGATGGCGACGGGCCACGCACAGGGGACGAGCCTTTGCAAGGACCGATGCACACACCCGCCTTACCATACCACATCCAAGAGCCAGACTCCCCTACCACTAACGAACCTCGGTTCAAGGAGCCGAACATGCTACCATGGACAACCACACCCCCAACGTCTCCCCCTAATAGTGTCGGCGTCAGACCGAGAGGAGAAACAACACCGCAGCCAAGCTCTGGGACGTTGGCTATAGAAGGCGCGCCAGGTTATGATCCCAATACCGCAGGAGATGTTGTGATGAGTGAAGCGCCTGCACTCCCTGCAAGTCGTAAATCCAATAGGAATTTGGGTCGTAGCCCAAAAGGTCGCTCCACAGGACGGGTCCAACGCCATAAAAGCAATTTTCCAAGGCGGTCTGACAAGCAATATTATCAAGCCCAAATACCGTCTAGTTCTGGAAGGACGCCGTATCCTGGCAAGCAAACACAATATCTACGGAATGATGATTTCATATCACAGGTGACAGAACGTATAGCACAAGACACGGCCGTTAAACTATCTAAGATGTGGCAGCGTTGGCCCGATGGCAGCCGCAGGAGTCCCTTCGTAAATGATGCCTACAATGCGACTACAAGGTCCACTGGTCCTGTAGGGGGGCGTTTACGTAACCTCCGAGACAATAGCAGTGAGCGTTTGGCGCGTCAAAAAGCTATGGGAAAACGTCGAGTTGTGGATATTCCTGCCGCAGGGAGATCGAATGTCTTACGCAGTAGTTCAAGGGCGACATCACGGCACGTGAGCCACTTACAACCCGAATATTACCTACCTCGATCTGAGCAGAGGTTATTACCGTGTCCAGGGGTTATTTCCGATAGTGGGAAGAGTAGTTCTGCGGCCCTCGTCGCCATAAATCCGCGCATAGGTTATCCTAATACCTACGATACCGTTGTGCTACCTGATGGCACGATGTGGTCACACGGCCCAGAGGGACTTCGCACGACGATTTACTCATATCCGATCCAACAACAAGCAATCTCCGCTACTCGCATTGACTCCGGGGATCCTTTGCATGTGGACCACGCGACATTGGTTAGATCTCCGGCGTCTGAGTCTGTCGATGATCCCACAAGTGCCACCGTCCCAACGGGACCATACCGTAATTTTGGTGGTAAGAAATCGTTTCAAGTAACTCAAAGGGACGTTGCCATGCTTCAACCTCCATCTTTGGTCACTAGTAGGCTCTCCGCAGGTACATCAGAGCGGCGAAGGCCACGCGAGGACGATGAATCAGAGATTTATGAGACAGAGCGGCCGCGTGAAGCACTACAATTATCTAGTTCTTTGCCGCGACAACTGGACCCCTTGGAACCAGAAGAATACGATCCTAATAAGCGAATAAAACAGGACCACGCTGATATGGACATAGACATCGGTAGTCACATCGAAGGCCATATAGGGCCTAGCTCTACGGCCCTCACTACAAGAAGCCCAACAGGTCATGTGTCCCGTCGATCAAATATCTCACTGACCGCTCCTACCTACTTCGACCATCCTTCTCATTCTCGTGAGGAAGTTTCCACGTCGAAGCAATCAGAAGGCCAATACGAGCCTTGCATCAACGATACCGCTATCTCGCGAACCTTACCACCGAGTACCATGACTTGTCCGCCCAGCAACGGAAAGAGAAGGGCTACTCCTCGCACAGAGGAAGCAGAAAGCAGTTCCGCCTATGCCTCGTCTAACTTTACATTAGCCAATCGAGATATTCAATTTAACTCTCCGAAGAAAAGCCACCCCAGCGAGGGGTCGAGTGTAGCGGCGCAATCCCAGTCTCTCGCAACAGGAAATACAAGGAGTAATTCAACCCATACGTACACAGACATCGAAGAGAGAAGATATACAATTGACAAGTCAACCGAAGGTGGACAAGGAAGCGGAATGGTTCATCATCTTGAGGATACTGTGGAGACTCAGTCTTCAGTGGGCATAACCTCTACTTTCCCAGTACATGAAAGTAGGCAAGATGTGCAGATCGCCCCTTCCTCGAAATCTCAGTCCCCTGCCACGAATCATTCTGGAATCAACACCCCTGATGGCGGAAAGAGCGCTTCAATGCATGATACACCGCTAGACACCAGTATCGGCGAATGTCAAGTTCCTACAACCGGATTGGTTACCAACAACACAAAATGCACCCAAGAGGCTACGCCAAACGGCCGAAAAGAATCAAACCGCGCCCAGAGCCCCCATGGTATTCGAATGCAAAGCCAAGAGAACCTGTTTTCGGATACATACGAGACGTTTGAACCTGCAAAATCGGAGAGATCTACCGTACCTGAGCAAGCCGAGGAAAATAATTTCCATAGCCTATCAACGGCGGGTAGCTCCAGCGCGAGAGATCATCCATCTTCCCAAGCATTAAACCCACTCGTACCTCAACATTCCCACGTGGACCGTTTATCTGGGAACTCTGAACCAGGTTCTGAGACCGGAGACAATCTGTCAGCGACTATCCCCTTTGGTGCCGAAGGCAACATGCCTTATCCTGATGCCGCGACCACCCCTGCGGGGTCTTTCGAGCCACCTAGAGTAGAGGAGGCAGGAGGGAACAACGTCCTCACATCGAGAGTCATAGACAACGACACGACACAACGTGTCGTGGGTGCCTCTACCAGCGACGTGGGTCAGGGTGAGAGTAGCGAGCCAGATTCGACCCCTAGAGGCTCATCTCTAAATGAGGAGATGCCGCAAACCACCGAGGGGAGCTGTGATAGGAGCCATCCGTCTACTGATTCAACGAAACTTGCACCACATCACACCACCGTATATCTACATAACGACCATCCACAACATCAAAATGTTCAAGTACATAACACGGCCATGGAGGCAGCGACTGGAACCTCGGATGGCTTAGACCTAGAGCCGGATCCACCCAGCCAAGTTACTGTTGAGCCCCCGAACCCCGTATTCCTGACCAAGCAAATATCGGCGTAGAAGCGCGCTTCAATCGACCAGTTTCCGAAGAGCAGATGCTTGACGCACAGCTATCTAGCGACGATGATCACGAGATGGAAGACGTGCCCGCAGTGTCTAGTCTCGCGAAGGTGGCGGGCCATAAGCGCCGTCCCCTCGCCGAAAGACCTGATTCACCGATACTCCAGCAGAATACGAATACTCCTCATAAAAAGCCAAAGTTCGAGCGACAATATTTGATATTGGATTTAGATTGGAGCAAAGAGGACAACGTCTTCCGGGTCAGCAACTACGAGTTTCTGGCGAAAAATGAACTACCGAACGCTATCGAGTCTCGCCTAGCTAAAGACTTCTGCTTCTACACTAAAACACAAAAATTTATCCCGACGAAACACGTTTTAAAAGAACTCTGTCACTCTCACACCATGCTCGCATCAAAGGTTTGGATGCAGTATTTAACACAACAAAACCACAAACGGATAACACAGGAAATTCACAGGATTGAACGGAACGAAAGGCGAAATAGAAGAAGTTGGGAGAAGAAGTTAGGATAAAAATCTAGTAGAGTAATATGACTAAATGGTTATATAACTACAGTAACATGACTAGAGTAATATTACCACAGTAATATCGCTAGACAGGTTATATAACTACAGTGATATTACTAGAGTAATATGACTAAATGGTTATATAACTACAGTAACATGACTAGAGTAATATTACCACAGTAATATCGCTAGACAGGTTATATAACTACAGTAACATGACTAGAGTAATATTACCACAGTAATATTGCTAGACAGGTTATATAACTACAGTGATATTACTAGAGTAATATGACTAAATGGTTATATAACTACAGTAACATGACTAGAGTAATATTACCACAGTAATATCGCTAGACAGGTTATATAACTACAGTAACATGACTAGAGTAATATTACCACAGTAATATTGCTAGACAGGTTATATAACTACAGTGATATTACTAGAGTAATATGACTAAATGGTTATATAACTACAGTAACATGACTAGAGTAATATTACCACAGTAATATCGCTAGACAGGTTATATAACTACAGTGATATTACTAGAGTAATATGACTAAATGGTTATATAACTACAGTGATATGACTAGGGTCGCATAACCGGACTAGTAATATAACCATAGTCATATGACTACGCCCGTCAAATGACTAAGGTGGTAATATGACTATAGTCATATTACGGACCTAGTATTATGACTATCGTTGTATAACCAGGCTGGGTATTTCACTATAGTCATATCACTAAATCCGTCATATGACTATGGTTATATAACCAGGGTAATATTACTAAGGTAGTCATATAACTGCCTTAGTCATTCGGCTGTAGTCATTTAACCATAGTCATATTACCGTATGTTTCTTTCGGACTTTTACAGCAAATTAGTGCCATAATTTAGGCACTAGGGTCTGTTTTGTGTTTAATTTTCTTTGTTTTCCGTTTTGTTTTCTTTCGGGCATCTGACCGAAACAGCTACACCCTATTTTTAACACCAATTAATTTTATACGAAAATTCTGTGCTTAATTACGGGCATATCAAAAACTGGGTTAAATTCCGTCCGGCTCGGTCGGGGTACCATTTGTGTTTTGACCAAAAATGGTTTTCTCGCTTAATTAGTCACGATCGTTCCAACAACCGCTAACATAAAACGATAGGACCACAAGCCGAGACATATTTATTCAAAGCACCCTTCACCGATAATGAGGTGTATCAAGAGACATACGATCTCAAAACGTCTCGACGCTGAGTTATTAAACGCTAAGTTGCTAGATCCCATTCCAAGCAAATATCAGGATACCGCACGCAAACTACTCAAGGCAGGAGCCGATGTCGACACTGTCGACACGTGCAACGAGGAAATTGGCTGGTATCTTCACCACAAAGCTTTCCAAACCGATTCTTCGTCACCCAACGACAGCACTTATCCGGGGCCAAATAGTAAAGACGATTTGGGTGATGACCCATTCTGTCCTCAGTTTGGGATTGGTATTACACCGCTGCAGATTGCGATACTGTTAGGCAACCAGACCTTGGTAAACCTACTGCTAGAGAACAAGGCCAACGTACATCCAGCCCATGGGTATAGCCCTCTGGTAACCGCTTCATGGCTTGGGTTTCGAGACATAGTTACTCTTCTTCTCAATAACAGAGCCGATGTCAACGTCGGTGATGATAACGTTGGAATGCCACTCCAAGCCGCGGCAGCAAAAGGCCACACTGAAATCGTCCAGCTGCTATTGGATAACAGGGCAGATATTAACGAAACAAGTGACCCCTACGAAACCGCCCTCACTGCGGCCTCCTGGCACAACCACATTGACATTGTGGAATTGCTTCTAGCTAATTCAGCCAGCGTGAACTTCCGATACGGAGTAAGTGACGATTTCCGGAGTCCGCTCGCCGCCGCCGCAGAAAGAGGAAACTTGCAAGTTGTCCAGTTGCTACTGGCAAAAAAAGCGAATGATTATGTGGAAAAACGTACTCATGACAGCGCTATATGGCTTGCATGTATGAGTAGGACGGATCTTAGGGAGCCTATCCTCCGCACGCTTTTTAAAGGAGTCATCAATACTAATGTTGATTGGAGCGAGTTGTATGAAGCAATCACTGTGGCTGTACAGTTAGGTAAAGGCTATAAGTCATAATTGGACAGGCTTCTGGACAGCCAACCCCTTCTTGACGCTATTTTTGCGGACGAGGGGCCTGCATGGGCTACAGAAGCTATCTTTCGAGAGGTTAAGCGAGGGTATCGTCGTGGTCGTCTTTGCGTGTCCTTATCATGTCGCTCGTGTGATAGAGGTAATCGATCATCGAGACTTGGATGCAAGGGTCAACTGAGTTTTCTTTAGTCTTGCTGAATGGCGAAGCTATAGGACAAAGATGCGTCACACATAGCCAGTGGTCGAACGTGGTAAGAGCCTATTCACAAGGTTAAGTCACCTACGGTGGCTTAAATGATAAACTAAAGAGTAATGGGAAAGTTGCGATCACTTTATTGCCAGTGATTTGGCCGAAAGTCTAACCTTGGGATACGGTTGCCAAGTGAAACAACGCGCAAGCTGATGATGTGAGCACACGGCAAGTTGTTTGTCTAAGAAAAGCTTTGGGATAGGTGAGTGGCTAGGGTAGATTTTTGCAAAGGATCAACTGTAGGACAACAGGTTTCACTCAATACCGCGTCGCATTCCTACTGTGCGGGTGGCAAAGGGCTATTACGGTACACTTTGCAATAAAAGTCAATCAAATTGAGCACGGATCGGTTGAGTAATTGAGCTTTTAAAATGGTGGGTTGAAAATGGTAATTATTATAGTGTCTTGGTAACATAAATGCTAGCAGACAGGCAGCGCAACGGGCGCTTCAAAAGAGATACCATGGGTTTACCAGACCATTTTGAGCCAAGACGCAGACCGATCAGACGTATATCTCTATATATAGTGTGTTCTATTTATTCTAACGTATATGAGGTGCCAAAATAAGGCGGTGTGCCGAAACATCACATAGATACCTTCAGCATAATTGAAAATAATTGTAGGCAAGGCAGCTTGGATTATCCCCTGCTTCTCACGTTCGACACCATCTAATTTAGGTTAATGATACAGTGTGTTACCGACAGGCAAGGCGGGAGCGGCAAAGCCGAGAGTCAGTATTAGGGTTCACCCGAGATACTTTCAACTTAATAAGCGTTTCGCCCTACACTGCATGGAATAACATGACATGTCAAGTCATGACATAATCAACTGCTCTTGCCCATGTCGATTTTGACACGCTTACCAGTCGGGATAAGGGTAAACGCTGCGGTAGTATCACTCGCTGGTCGCTGCGCGGTGCACTTATCGTACCAAACACACGTCCGCTTCTCCAACACTTCAACAATTCGCGGTGCCAGCTCAGCTTCATCAAAACTGACTGACACTGTCGTATACTGGCCGTGACTATTGTCAAAAAAAACACTTTGTGCACCAGTGAGCTCAACCATATCTCTCTGCCACGCATTGAGAACGCTTCTGTCTCTCACCGGGTCGATCCACGCGAAGTCAATTGTTTGTGAGTCCTCCCCATGATCAACCTTTGCTCGGAACCCGGACAACTCCTGTGCATCCGCTAGGCTTCGCTGCCCCGCTGGTCGCTGCGCGGTGTACTTATCGTGCCAAACACGGATCCAGTTCTCCAACACTCCAACAATTCGCGGTGCCAGCTCAGCTTCATCAAAACTGACTGCCACTGTCGTAAACTGGGTGTTACTATTGTCAAAAAAAACACTTTGTGCACCAGTTTTCTCCACTATAAGTCTCTGCCACCTATTAAGAACGATTCTGTCTTCCACTGGCGGTATCCACGCGAAGTCAATTATTCGTGAGTGCTCCCCACGATTAACCTTTGCCCGGAACCCGGACAACTCCTGTGCATCCGCCAGGCTTCGCTGCCCAACATCGTGAGTTGCTGTCATAACTTTTGACGATTGTGACGTATTATCTAATACGTTGCCACAAAGCTTGTTCAAAATAGAACATATTTTTGATTTTCCCATGATGTTGGTTTTTATGGAATCATGGGGGAACCAATCTTTTATACCATCGGGAACTTACTGCTTACGTGAAGAAATGAGGAGCACTAGATCAGTTCAATAATTATTCTATTTATTCTATTTATTCTATTTATTCTATTTATTCTATTTATTCTATTTATTCTATTTATTCTATTTATTCTATTTATTCTATTATTCTTCCGTTAACCAGAAGTGGAAGATGAAATCGTACTCCATCAGAAAGCTCTCGCAACGATGCCGAATATCGAGCTCGGTAGCAAGATGTTCTCAGAAGCTGTGTGGTTGTGCCAGGAGGCCGCAGTGATGGCGGTTCGGTAGGTGTCGGGACATATACTCCCGTCAGAATAAGCAAAGACACGTTGTACGTAATCTTGCTAAGCAACGGCTCCCGCCGTATGGATTCAGGGGTATTGGGCCTTGACCTAGGAGAAACATCTATTTTACACGAATCAAATTGAGTCTTGCTTTGGAAGAATAACCACTGTACACAGTACCTTCTTTCATTGATATCTGCCCCGTTATCCAATAGAAGCTTGACGATTTCAGTGTGGCCTTTTGCTGCCGCGGCTTGGAGTGGCATTCCAACGTTATCGTCACCGACGTTGACATCGGCTCTGTGGCTGCACAGTTAGGTAAAGGCTATAAGTCATATTTAGAGAGGCTTCTGGACAGCCAACCCCTTCTTGACGTTTTTTTTGCGGACGAGGCACCTGGGTGGGCTACAGAACCGATCTTTCGAGAGGTTATGCGAGGGTATCGTCGTGGTCGTTTTTGCGTGTCCTTATCATGTCGCTCGTGTGATAGAGGTAATCGATCATCGAGACTTCGATGCAAGTGCCAAATAAGTTAGCTTTAATCTTGCTGAATGGCGAAGCTATGGGACAAATATGTCTCGCATATGGCCAATGGCCCTCTAAATTCGAACATGGTAAGAGCCTTTCACAAGGTTAAGTCGCCTACGGTGGCTTAAATGATAAATTGAAGGGTAATGGGAAAGTTGCGATCACTTCATTGTTCGTAATTTGACCAAAAGTCCAATCTTGGGATACGGTCCCCAACTGGAACAACACGCAAGCTGATGATGTGAGCAAACGGCAAAGCTTTAGGATCGATTAGTGCCCAGGGTAGACTTTTGCAAAGGATCAACTGTAAGACAGCAGATTTCATTCAATACCGCGTCGCATTGGTACTGTACGGGTAACAAAGGGCTATTACCATAAATTTTCCAATAAAAATCAATGAAATTAAGCACGGATCGGTTGAGTAATGGAGCTTTTAAAATGGAGGGCTGAAAATGGTAATTATTGTAGTGGCGAAGTAGTAATACATTAGTGGCTTGATATCATGAATGCTTTAGCAGACATGCAGTGCACCGGGCGCTTCAAAGGACATATCTTAGGTTTACCTGACCATTTTCAGCCAAGACACAGACTAATCAGAAACATGTTCCTCGAAATATAACTTAGTGTGTTATATTTTATTACATTCCCTTAGCAACCTAACAGTAGAATAAGACTTTGACTCATCTGCCAGCGATATTACATAATGATTTACATGCATTGCATGCGGCCGAAAGGATCTGCATTTGGATTCTCCGAAGATACTTTTCATTCTAAGTGGTAGACTGAGGTCTTTACATCCCTCGCTGCTATTCTAAAGCCGTTTTTGTCTACCTTCACGACTTTAATATTTGCTTCACGACTTCTTCATGCCCGCCACGTCTTGCTATATCTACCAGAGCCTGACCTAGTGTCGGGCCCCCGTCGAGTATCGCTCCCAGGTCCACGCCCCTGTCAAGGAATAATTGTACCAGTGCCACTTGCCCATTCTTTGCTGCCGAGTAAAGTGGTGTCTCACCCATCAGATTAATAGCCTCTGTATCCGCACGCCCAGTGTCGAGTAATAGCTTCGCTACTTCCACATGCCCATGCCTCGCAGCTGCCGATAGCGGTGTCCCAAATATAGAGAAATCCGCGTCTATATCCACCTTCCCAGTGTTCAGGAGTAGCCGCACCAGAGCTGTGTGGCCAAACTCTGCGGCGATATATAATGGCGTCCGACCGTTATGTATTTTCGCGTTCACATCAATGCATACTTTCTCGAGTATTATCTCCGCCACCCCTTTATGTCCATACTGTAAAGCTTCGAACCATGCATTTGTAATATCATTGTTCGTTATCAAAATAGTTCCCTCTCTCGTCACTGTTTCGAAAAACCTTTTGGCTGTAGCTGAATTCCCACTCACAGAAGCCCGTATTAATGCCGAGGATCCAAGATATCGAGCATTATTCCAATATAAAGAGCGATTCAGGCCATCATAAAGTTGCCGACTTCCTTGGGATAATGAATTGACGTCGCTTTCCGTTAGAAAATCCGCCAATCCTGATAACAATTCCATGGGCAGATCGAGGAGGCCCTTCTTTGGTTCCATGTTGACAGGATATTGCTTCTCGACTAAAACGAAGAAACCACTGTGGTAAACTGGCGGTAGTTATTATGCAGATCGGGTTTGTTTATATACATCAAAAGTAGACCACTCGTAACATTTATTGCGACATGGACTATTTCGGGAGCCGCAGGCTTCGGTAGCAGCGCTCTAGGTGTGCTATTTCCGTACTAAAACTTTGAGAGCCTGGATTACAGTCGCGGGATATAGCTCACTGGCAGTACTGTATATAATTTGCAAGCTCTTGACATTCGGAATACAGAGACAGTTTTTATTGCAGGACCCTATGAAGCCAAATCTATGTGCCGTTGTATTCTAGGTTCAACCCCGTCAGCGGCCGGGGATAGCCATTACACTCATCACCACAGGTCGCACTTGAATCCCGGCACTCTAGAGACGGGGCGTAACGGACACACCAATGCAGTCTTTCGGAACACTGCGAGCGAGGTCTAAAATGCCAAGTGTCGCTCCATTGTCTCACGCCCGGGAGAGGTAAAGTATACGCATAAGAGGCGATAGAAGTTGCTTGTCAAAATTTTGCTGATTATTCTACTAGGGCAAACTTTCAACAATACATCCCAAATAGCGGGCGGCATTACCTCCGTTCGTAGCTCCCAAGCAACGAGTACCAACGCAAATCCGTTAAGTATTACTGGCAAGGGTCAATAAGGTATGTCGTACCCCCAGTAAACTCAAACTGGGGGGTGTAAAAGTAAGGAAGTATCTGCAGATATCAAGGCGATCAAGGGTAAAAAGTTCGATCTCATCCGTGTTTACTCTACTGACACTAGTACGAGGACAATAAAGGTAAAAAAAACGGAGTAAAAATGGCAAGAATTAAAAACGTAGGATCAACCAATCGAGATCCCGAAATATAAAGAACAAAGTAAAACAAGGGCAAAAGCCACAGAACAAATAAAGAAAAATGACCCGACCCACCTATGGGGCCCGCGCGCCAGATAGTGGAGTTCGGCGCAGGTTGAGAAGGAAAAAATAAAGAGTCATGAAGCTTAATCTTTTGTTGGGTGGCACGTAACTGCTAACTGTTTGGCCAAAGTGGTTTCTTTAAAAAGGCGAACAGAAGAAAAGAAAGAAAAAATAAGAAGAATAGGGAAAAGAGAAAATAAACAAATGCTCCACATATCACGTCTATCTCCGCAGTGCGAATATGCGAAGACCTATATATTATCGCGTGTACTCTTACAATATATACAAAAGCGTGTGAAATTATGTTCCGCTAATATAGGGATAGGCGAGGTCAGTCCATCAACACCTTTTTGTTGGCCCATATACCATTATAGCACCATCGATCCAGACCAATGTTCGCTGGCCAGTGTGTCCTTTTTGGCCTAGAAATGGAACAGGATGACTGAGAACTACAGGGTCTTAATCAGTTGCATGCTATTCGCAGAGCAAATCCAAAAATGGAACCACATAAATAATCAAGTTTGCCAGATTACTAATCTACTATTATAGATCTGGAAAGTATAAGACGCAGCTTAAATACGCTGGTTTGGGTGAATTTGAGCAGTATTTTAATCACTTTCATAATGGAACCCCGAGCCTCCCCAAATGACTACGAGTTATTCCATGACGATCTATCGACCGAAGTCAAATATAAGCTACGCAGATGGCTGGACTTTTCACGTGGTGAAAGGACACCAAAGGGATATCGCAATGCTTTAGAAGTTGCCGCCCACCTAGGTGATACTGCCATGGTCAAGAAATTGCTTGCCACTGGGCAGGGCTCCCAGGAGAAGCCTCGTTATGGATATCCACTCCTACTCGCAACCCACTCAGGATGCGTCGAAACAGTGGAATTCCTTCTAACGAAGGGCGCAGACCTAGCGGCCAGCATAAAGCGCACAGAGATTGAGGAGACACCCCTCGATATTGCTTGGGGTCAAGAGGATCCGCAGATGTTGATGACGTTGGCAGATCATCTGATGAGACACGAATATAATAGTACAACAGAGGTTCATAAAGCGCTTGGCAAATGTGCCGAGCAAAATGACGAATACCGAGTGAAAAATTTACTTGCAAATGGAGCTGACCCCAATTTCCAAACTAATGGCTTCAGTCCTGCCCTGGTATCTGCTGCCAATGGCGGTAGTGTAGCAATCAGTAGCATTCTATTGAAGGAGAGAGCCATTGTGGATTTAAGGTGTGATACGTCAGGTTGCGCCGCTCTTGAAGTCGCTGCTGGGAATGGAAACACAGAACTACTGGAACTTTTACTGGAAAGCGGCGCCAATCTAAACGGCCACAACGACGGAGGTCCTCTCATTGCTGCAGCAAAATATGGAAAGCTTCAAGCAGTGAAGGCTCTTGTGGAGAAAGGTGCCTGCGTGGATATTGCAAACAGTAAACGCGAAACGCCTATCGGAGTTGCCGCAAGTCTGGATGAGAAGGATGTGTTCGAATACCTGAAACCTTTAGCAGATTTTGGGTTCGCTCTTAAAAGTGCCTTCGACGAGGGTTACTTTTATAGCCAGAATCAGCAGCACGTGGGCCGAGTCCATTCTTATACTGGAACGGAACACTGGCACCAGTTGTGGCAGTGCAATCTTGCAGTATTGAAGTACAAATCTGGTTCCGCAATGACTGACATATCGACCAGCTGGGCATTCATTTTCGTGTTGTGCTTTCTTTCGCAACTGATATAGGTATATGAAACCTCTTCACTAATCCTGATGATGAGGCCAGCATGTTTGTGTCCTGCAAAGAGTGGTAATTCATGGCCTCTGGCATGCGTAACTCTATAACCGGAAAGTAGATTAGGTGTATAGAGAAAATTATCTAGTATCAGATATAACGCCTAACTGTAGTGGGCAAGCGCAATAGAAAGAAAAAAACTCAAAGCCACATCGGCTCCTTATGTGGTTAGCTAAGCCACCAAGAGTGAGAGGTTAGTCATATGGGAGTGGGTCCAGTAGGAATTACCTCAGTTCCCTCAGACCACAGCCAATGATGAGACAGAATTCTGCCGATTCTGCCACGCTAACCCGATTGGGTTGCTTCATCAGCCCGTGGTCTGAGCCGGGAACCCCTTCCGTACATACAAGTTTCCGGTTCTCGCCAGCAACCCCACCATTTGGTCAAGGTGTGTTTTCTCAAGCTCTCTGAGAGTATTTCTGACATTGTTAGAAAGAATGGCATCACCGGATTTGCCCAATATGATCTCTAGATCGCGAAAGCGTGCTCGACAATCCTCCCTCGAGTGGCCTTCTTCCAGTTCACCATTACAAGAACCACCTGCGTCTACTCAGCGATCTCGTTATATCTCAGGATTGCAGCCACGCGAACGTGTCGATATGGTACTGGCTGAGCTTAATGATAAGCACCGGTGGACAATCAAGGATCTTCTTTACCACATGGTGCATGCACAACCAGTCAAAAAAAATGGATATTCGACATCGTATCGAGCACAGAAATTGTCTGACGCTATATATGGGCAACCTGAAATTATTGAGCGGCTAGGTAGTGTCTCAAAAGACATATATGCCACTGGTGCATCCGATCTCGTGTCTCGGATACAGACCGAGATTCGAGGGCTGATTAACGGAGATATACTCGGCGAGTTCCAGTCCAATGTGGACCCTAAAGATATGGACATCTCTAGCTTGGCTACGCAGATGCAGAGGAAAGCTCCAGAGCTCTGTGGACTGCTCGTTAGCATCATGACACCTCCAGGAAACCATCGCGATACACCCAAGATCCACCAGGGCAGCATTGTGATGGTCTGTTCAATTCTGGCTTGCGCTTTTGCACCACGGAAAAGCAACAACTTCCCGATGTTGATCGGCTTGTATTTACATGCAATGGGTGTCAAGCGACGTGTGATTAGCTTTCTGGCTGGCCTGGGGATAAACTCAGCATACCAGACTATCATGGACAGACGGAAGGAACTTGCAGAACTAGGACAGGTACTATAACCGCATTTACCGGAGAATAACATGTTCTGGCTGACTTCTTACCCCAAGATGTGTACAGAAACAATTGAAACAGAATGCCCAGGCTTCTCGCAGGAATCTCATTGTGGCATGGGATAACTTTGACTACAGCCAGACTGTTCGACATCAAACTATTCGTGATCCATCAGAGCATATCTCCGCCACCACTGGCAAGCTTTGTATCGGTCAGTCCATCCCTGCAGGAGGGCTTCTCCGATCTATGTTCCATCCAGAGGTTACACTGAGTCCTCATGATATCTACATGGCACCAGGCAATCAGGATGATGAGATCTTCCATCAATGTCAGCGCCATTGGATTGCAGAGGCCATTCGCTATACTCATCGGGAGGCAGTAGAGAAACTATTTACTGCGGAAGCGTGCGTCAAACCAGGCCAGATGAAACCGCGAGCCCATCTTATTGACTGGCCTGAATTCCCAGCAGTTAAACGACTGCAAGCGCAGAAGACAATTCACTACAGCCTTGGGCCAATGTTATACAACGAAGGCACGACAGAGGGGACATACAAGGTCATTCAGAATGTCTTTCTGGAGCAACTGGGGGATGATGATGATACAGACCTTGATGGGCTTTTACAACTGGTTTATGGAGATCAGAAAACAGTGTCACTCCTTCGTGCCGTCAAAAAAGAACGTGCGGAGGCTTCTCGTCTTTTCGATCGTTTCAGCTGGATATTGCCAATCCCCGGACTGTTCCACTGGCGTATGAACTACTTGGATATGATCTTTGAGCTCTATGCTGGGACAGACCACCCTACCGTTGAATCGACGATCCATCATAATAAGGTCTGTCTCGGTTGCGTACAGGGACACAAAAGTCCATTCCACCATAAAGAAGAGGTGGCTACTCGCTCATTTGACGCTCGCGTCACGGCCATGTTCTATCAGTTTGTCCCATTAACAGTCAATTTCGCGGATGCTAAAGATGTGGATGATTGGATTCAAAGCCTCGGAAGGGGTCAATTCCTGGACGTTGTGGATCAGATACGCCAGTCTCTGTTCCATTTTAAAGAGCAGCAGTCTAAGGTTCGTGAACGAGAAGGAGAACCAGTCGACTATGAGTTCTCAGCACATGCGAAATTCCTTCAGCAGATGGAGACTTACAAGTCCTTGAAGCTTGCCATCAAACTTGGTGACATTGGAATTATCCAGCGGATCTTTGCACAATGTTGTCTCCTCTTCCCTGGCACAAAGAAAACCCGATATTCTTTCCTCTCCTTGTATATGACATGGCTCACTCAAACCAAAGCAGCTGATCCCGAGCTGCAGACTGCCATTCTTGCCAACGGACTTGTGAATCTACGGGGTGCGGAGGACGGTTGGTTCGAAATTGATCGACTGAATGAGTTCTTCAATCTTCATATGAAGACACTCATGTCGACTCGACGGACCTCAAATCTGGACATCACTACCATGTTCCGTCGAACTGCTCTCACAGCCAGCTACTGTACTGATCTAAAGGAGCTTCTGGAGGCTACCTTTGGAGAATATAGCAATGGGCGACACCAAAATAAGGATGCTAGCCAGGATGTTCGTCATCTAGCTTATCAGATCTCGAAGTGCATCCAAAAGCAACCAAATGGTCGGACAAGAGGCTTTCAACCATGTGATATACTCACAGAAACAATTGGCGAAAAGCTCTTCAAAGCCGTACAGAACTTCAATAGCCTCGTCGTCAACGGACAGTGGGCACAAGAAGTTGATTTTAGCAAGATGACATCGACTCCTATTGCTGTTCTAGATGAGATTGAAGAGAATGACACATGACACTGAATAGCAGGTTGCTGCCGGGACAGCTTTAGCTATACTTCTCTTCATTCCATTGATAATACTCCCACGCTATATTATAAGGTGACTGACACACATTGATGGAATGCATCAGATGGATTGTTCATCATTCTCTACCAGACCTTAGAACCTAGGTCTTCTCCACCCTTCATCACGCGACGCCCATTTCCTGATACCACACCGAGGGCCTTGCGTTTGGGAACTGGAGTTGCCGAAGGAGGAGGCATGTCCATAAAAGCTTGGGATGGCGTGTTAATATCAACCCACGGAGAGATATTCCGAGATGGAGTTGGTTGACTGGTGCTTTCTGGCGTGACTGCAGAAGACCATGTGAGGTTGCTGCATTCACTCATTTGACTAGAGTCATTCGACACACGCTTCCTCTTTGCAGGGGTTTGAATAGTGGCCATAAAGGCTGCTTGATATGCATTCTTCAAGACATCCACAAGACCCTCAGCAAGCTGATTCGACAAAGCCCATATTCCCAATATTGTCTGAAGATCCTTTGCCTGGAAATATTCCCGCTCCGAATAGGTGGCATTTTCAATATATATCGCAAGATGGACATATTGTTCTTCTGCCAGTATGCTTGAGCAATCAGGTATGAACTTCACTCCGTTCAAAGCGCTTGAAAGGACCTCCTTGGACCAATATTTTAACTGGTTGATGATTATCTCGTCCATCTGTCCTGACCTCGGACCGTGCTCAGTATACAGATAACGAGTTGGATCATTGAGCTGATACTCAGGATTGCAGTTGCTGCAGCACCGGTCACGCCGAGGATTACATCTGAACTCTTCAGGTTCATTGAAGTAGTCCAGGAACCGTTTCCGGAGGCATTCTGTAGGCTCATTGGCAAGGAGATACCAAAATTCAGGCAACACAGCACGTCGCTCTTCATGACTTAAGCGTCCACCTTTCTGTGGTCTCTCAGGGTTTGCTTCTTTGACTTCATCATCTGAATCGGCCAGTGGGTTGTCTTCCGCTAGATCATCATTTTCTGTATGAATCTTGCGTTTCACGGCACGTTTCTTGATACGCCCCTGTATCCACTGATCAACGAGAATAACGATCTTTCCATCCTGTCCAAGGCGAGATGCCCGACCACCGCGTTGCCAGAGCGTTGCTGGTTGTAGGTTTTTGGGGAACCGATACATGACAACTTGATCAATATCCTGGAGGTCCACTCCGAGCGCTAGTGCCTCGGTGGTCATGAGGACACGAAGCTTGGATTGCGGTCCGGGTTTCTGAAGCTCTTTGATCATTGCTTCCTTGTCTCCCTTTGCGGTGTCGCTATGGTAGACCTTCACCGTATCCATTGCCTCTTTGAGGGTATAGTTGCAATGTTGAACACTTGCCCCATCTGGTTGCTTGTTATGCTGCAGCCAATACCGACAATTTTCCATGGCAGTATATGCATCATTCTTCGAGTCAAAGAATACCAATGTCTTTGGGATTCGTGACGGTCGTAAAATGGGCTGACAAGGACCATTGTCAAACAGGAAACGCAAGGCCGTTGCCTTCTTATGCGCGCCTTGTGGGATCCAAGCTGTTTGAATGAGCAACTCTGGACGATTGACGGATGTCCGCAAGATTTCAACATCCTTTGGAAACCCAAGTCCCTCAATAACAACGCGCAATGTATTCATATCAAGCGTAGCAGAGCATGCAAACCAGGGGACGCCACTGCCGAATAGACTTCGCAATTGATGCAATCGCGCATAGTCCGTTCGAAAATCTTTGCCCCATTGAGCCACAAGATGAGCTTCGTCTACAACAACCAGAGCCAGCCGGTCTCGGAAACCTGGATGCATAGCAGTTGAACGGAACTTGTCACTGATTGCAAGCTCTGGACTCACGAGGACATGTGTGAACTTGCCCGCTTGTACCCTGTCAAGAAGTTCGGATGAGAATGTTTCCCTGTTTAGGAAACAAGGTCGCCCTCCAATGTTCTCGATGTAATTGGTCTGCTCAACGCCAATTTGATTCAATGGAAGCACAACAAGGGTGATAGACTTATCAAGCAAGAGTGACACTGCTTGCAATATCATACTCTTCCCAAATGACGTCTTCGCAATCAGGATAAGGTCCTTTCTCAGGTAGATCAATTGTCTCAATGCTTGCAACTGACCCGCACGTGGATAATAGGGATACAGCTCTCGAATTGCTTGTCTGATGGCTTGGTCCTGTTCATCCTTACGCTTCTCAGACGCATCGCGAATCAGTTTCTGCGCTTGAAGAACTGAATTCTTCTCAACTTGTTGTTTCTCCAGCAAGACAGTTGCGCCCTCATTCTCGTACTCCACTCCCAATTCAATAGGCTCTCCAGCCTTTGAAGAAGGTCGATTATTCTCAGAGGCCAACCAGTTATCCAACTGTGTCTGTCCATTTCCGGGGTCGTTCAGTTTCGCGTTATATTTCCGAGGAGGCTTCCGTCGTGATGGGCGTCGATCTGGCATCGTGAGGCGGGTTTGGAGTCAATTCTCACGCGATAGAGTTAATATTGTGGATCAGATGTAGCCACTATACATTAAAATATGTCAATATATGCTTCATGGAGGTTTTGGCGGAATACTTGGGGCATATAATGGCTTTGACAGCTTAAGAAAGGGTTCCTTCGGGTATTTTAAGGACATATTTCTCACCCACCTTTCCAGTTATACATACAATTTTGGTGTCAATGGGTTCAGCTCAGAAAGATGCAGAAGACATCGTCGCCCGATTCTTAATATTCGCGTGGGTGCGCGAGAAACTTGGAAATATTGAAAGACGCGCCTGGAAACTTCGCCATATAAACACGGGCAAAAACCCCGGAAACTTGTATGGTACCACCAAATTCCCAGCTCAGACGTTCCCCAAAAAAGGTGTGTCAGCATCGCTGGAAACAGCAGGCGGTGGATGGCCAAATTCACCGCCTTTTTGGGGGCGGCTGAGGTAACTGAGGTAAAGTAGGAATAGGCTCTTATGGGAATTCCTATAGGGCTTTAGTAATACGGACATGGGACTAGATTTTGGCTAGTCCCTCGGACAATGTTAATGTCTAAATGAATCACCAATTCTAATGAACACCGCAGTGAAGATTTGTACTCTCGAGCGTGCTCATTGGCATGTGGTGCGTACACCTGCCGTCCTGTGGTGCGTGCCCGCCAGTCACAGCCGCAATCAACATCTCTTAGTTTCAAAGATGCCCGGAAGAGCAGTCATTTGAGTGTCACGCTGCTTACGGCTATGCGCAGGTTACAATAAGTCTTCTAAAACCGAGCCTGAGCATGCTTTTGATAACTTTATCCTGCTTTTAGTCGATATCAGTCAATCATGCGCTCCATGACACCCTGCATTGGACGACGCGGGTTGGAAAACGGGTTGGAAAACAGCTTCTCTGTTACGAATTTTCCCGTTTTTTCCTAGGTCAAAAGACACGCTGAAAACAGAAGATATCAGCGCAAGGACAGGTTCCATCGGAATGAAGGTGGATTTCTCAGTCTGCATAAGAGCTTTTCATGTGAGCTCGTACTGCTACATAATCCCTCATAAGGTCCAAGACCTTGGGTCGACTCTCGCCGTAAGACGATATCACTACATTGGCCAACAAGTTAGATGTGCCACTCCGACCAAGAATCACTATTCTCCACGTAACTTTTGATTTCGCTGACAGTTAATTCCAAGCCCTCCAGTTCCAAGGTCAGAAATGTTCGGGTATATTCCGGTTCTACCTAGTCTCGTCGCACGTCAATCCTGTATCCCCTCTCCATGTCATTCGCAAATTGCGAATGTAGGCCATCGTTGTCACCTACAAATCTTTGTCGTCTAGCTTGAAGTAGCCTCGCAAAAAAAAAACAAACCCTCTGGAGGGGTTCGAGCATCCGCCGGACCTGGTCTTTGACTATTAAGGAAGATTGTCAGGCTGAACATGTGTATATAGCTATGGCCGACGCTGTATAGCCTTAACGTCGTTGGAATCCCGAGAACACAGATAAGAAGCCCAAGTGCGAGAACGCCCCCACGAGCAATAGCTACGCACACTCCGGCGACCAAAGGAATGGCGATTTTCACACCGATGTATGCAATCCAACTACCGAAAATAGTAGTGGACAGCCTTTCTTAGCCAGAGATTTGGCTTTCCTACGGTCTCTTCAAGGGATAACCGGTATAAAAGTCTTGTTTGTTCAACGCAATTGGTTTCATGGTCTACTATGTTGGCCAACTCTTGGTCATCGGTATTGTCTCGGTGTTGAGGTCAGCGGGATCCTTAGGTTGAGGAGTAGATTGCTTACCATGGAGAGCCTTGATGGCTATTTGAAGTTGTTCTATGGCCACTGCAAAATGCCTACAAATAGACAGGACATTGAGACCTTTGCTGAGCTTTAATTGCCCCTATTGACCGGGTTCGGACAAGGATTTTCTCCTTGCAAGCCAACACCCACAGCATCTTTAACCTAAGCTTGCTGGGCTTGATGCAATTGCAGGATACCTAACCCTCTCTCTAGAGGGGCAATATCTCCGTTCGTGGCATCGATTTGAAGACAATTTCAGACAGATTGTGGTGTGGAATTGGCCCTTCGGGAGGGAATCAGAGAAATACGGGCGGCGGCGACTGTCGAACAGTCAACATGATTCTGGCGATCTGACTGCAGTTAGTATTTGGTATCAAAGGATTGCTTCAAGTTACACGTGCCTTCCTGAAGAAAAGAGCCACCCATCAGCAACAGGAGTCAACTTCGATTGCTCCATATCACGTAGACCCTCAAATAAAACTTAGCAGAACACTGACTAGAAAAACCGGTCTGCGACCTGAAAATGGATTCGGGACTCACAACATCCAGTATCGCGTATGCTGATTCGTTGTGCCCGCGGTCAGTCACATAATTGATGAGTCTATTCAAGTGGCTGAAAGTCACATCTGGAGTGGGGATAGTCTCCCTGAATGACAATTGAAGGTAGTTCCAAAGAATTGGAAAGCGGAAAATAATTGCATTTATTGCGATCCATTCATCTGGCTCGGTCGTTGAGGGATACGTTGGAGTAGCCAAAGGATCCAGCTGCGCAGATTCCACATTCAGGCCAAAATCCACGCCCGCCATGTACACGCTGTTGTCGTTCATCAGCTTATATTATTCAATGCGGAAGGTGAATGGACAAACCGAGCATATTTGTGCCAATCGAGGCTTCGAGTTTCTATGAGATCTCCAAGAATGATTAAGTCCACAAGTATGTAGACACTATATACGCCAGATTTTATAGTGACCCAACTGAGATGAGGAACCGCGGATAGCGAAACCACGCACAAATTTAGCGCAATCTTTATACCGGGCAAATGGCCCGTGTCTAGAATATGATAAATATGATGTTTGGATCTATGGATTGAAACGTGTATCCGGGGGTGAACCAGGCACAATAGGACTTTACCACGTCATGGGAAACCGCAGTCCGGAAACCACAAAATGGAAGTAACAGCCAGCTACACTCCTAGGCAATGACTGAGCCGGTAAGCACATCTGCCACCATGGTCCTGCTCGTCGATCGACTTTCAAAAAGGCATACCGGTCTCTATTACCATCCTTGCCACAACTTTGTTTTCATGTAGCTTGTATTCCATCCCGAATCATAACAACCGACGTCTCCCACAGCTGCTGTATGTTGATCTCATTTTCAGACCATCAGGGTTGATCGCCATGGAGGATCCACAAGACGTGAGTTTTACTGGGAGAATCCTATGCCCAGACTACGTGGCTAATGCAATAATATAGTGAAGCATCAAAGATCCTTAGAAACAGACCGCAGCTGAACGAGGCGCGGCGCCTGGTTTCTGCCATGTCGCCAGAGGATTGGCATCAACTCATGTTGGCCGCAAAGCCCACCAAAGAAACCATCAACACTCTTCCTGCCGTGCTGTCTGGCTCGCGATCCGTAGCATATCAAAGCAAATACCAGATGATGCGAGCCTTCTCTCCGGTTATGGAATTTGGTGGCCGTTATGCTCTCACAACATGAACGAAGGAGTTCGGGTTCAGCAAGAGGCTCATTGATAAAGTGGCCGAGACTCTGAAAGAGTCAAATGAATGGCGCAGTTATCTCGCCGCTATTGAAACAAACAGCCGAGCCGAAGACCTTCGTGAAGGAGAGGACAATTGGCCTAGAGCACTCATTGTGCCTCTTACGCTACAGCAGCAGACAACAACTGTCGGTGGCGTGCCCAACAATTATCGGCTTTTGACACTTACAAACCAGCTAACACGTTTACGCGGCTCGGGCGAAAGAGACACCCGTGACTCTCAGTTACCCGAGGCCGAAGACGAGACGGTAGTCAACGCAGCCTCGGTCACGTTTTTGCAAGCTGTGTCACAACTAACGCCCTCCCCGCTTGAGTGGGTCTCTAACAGGTGACTATTCCATCCACAGTTTATCCTAGTGGGGTATGAAACATTCACAGACGGAGCGGCAGTATTGCCTGCTTCGATGGGCATCCCTTGGTGGTCTCTCAGGACATTCTATCTCTAGCGGTAACTAACTGTAGATATGGACTAGTCACTACAATACTCGACAATCCAGAGAAGCATAGGTCACCACCTCCATTCTTTCAAGGTCACCGGAATTGGGGTATTAACGGCGGTTCAGTCGCCGCTTCCAGCCCTTTCCACGAATCATAGACGTACGCCATGTGCTTCACAGGGACTGTTCCAGCATCGTAATTGCAGTGCCAAGGGTCGCCCAGACCAGAGCAATGTCTTGGAGATCCTTCAACAGAAGGCAAGGATCGACGCTCTTGACAATAATGCTCGCTATCCAGGTCCCGTAGGAAGGTCTCTTCACTCTTCTTCGGATGCTGCTAGAAGACGAGATACTGCCCTGCTGGACGGGGGCGGGTAACTCAACGTCGAAGACGCGGAGTTCCCTGCTGGCCGTTCTCGCCTAAGCAAGGCGCTTGTCGAAATCCTACCACCCTCCCAACCATGAGATTCGATGATCGTGCTCTCCATGGATTGATCCATAAACAAAAGGGCGCCGGTGTGGTGCAGAGCAGCGGCTGCTGTAGTCATGATCTCGGGTTTATGGTGATAATTTGATTAGTTATGCAAAGAAGCTCTCGTGTCTCGCCTTCTCGCGGTTGACATTAACGTCGATCATCGAAAGGTCAACTCCACGACCCGTATGGTCGTTTAATCGCTGCCGGCGAACTGTCCATCGACATGTCTAGCGTCCGTATTGATTTCCTTAAAATACTTAGATATCAACTATACCGATTCATTAAATTCTTAATGATCTAGATACGGTTGCGTAAACACAGCTACACGAAATAATATCTTACTACAGTAATAAATGTTCTGCGCGTATTACCACTATACTAGCGGTATTGTATTTAACCCGTATGTAACCGCAAGGGGAATACTGGTATCGTTTGGTAATATAAGTATTTATTCAGTCCATCTTAACAATACAGCGTCTTGTCACACTAGTATTTTGTGAAATGTGGTATCAGTACTAATGGGATGGCAGAACGAAGCGGCGGTGACGATAGAGGGTGGTGATTGGCCGGTCAAGTGTTTAGTTTGTTGTCGTTAGCCTCCGTGTTTCCCTCTCTCTTGCTATGCTTGCTGCTCAAAACCATTACGTCGTGGGACTGAATACTTGAACAATACCCTAGCCACGAAATACGAAATATCTATCGTAGGTGAGTCCCGTGGCGGTAGTCCTCCTTAGCAGACATGCAGTCTTGTCCTTCATGGGGAACTTAGCATAATCCAACCCTCAATATGACTACAATTATTCCCAAATTCTTGATTCGTGATATAACATCAGTTCCAGTACGATCTACACCACAGAATTCGCGCCTTTACCTGCGAGACTGTGGTAGGTCGTCCATCCTCTTTGTTGATACCGACCCGTCTGCAATGCAAGACTCCATTGTGCCATCCCCATTTCAATTTATATATATACTACGGGAAGAGCACACAGAACGAAAGGGGAAGTTCCAAACAAAAAGGAACGAAACGATCGGATGTATAGATATAGTAGTAGTAGTAGTAGTATTCATTTACACTGACCCCTCGCCAAAGTTGATTTCCCAACTAGACTAAAATACGAATCCGCACTCAGCCTAGTGGGTTATGGTTTAGAATCCAACTGCCAAAGCGACATGCAGTATACAACAACTATATATCCGAGTATGTACATGTAAAATGATCCTCTTCCTGATACGAACTTAGAGCCTCGTCACGGCCTATCGTGGCATAGTTGCCGCTCCCGTTGTTAGGCTGCCCTTATGGCGCACGACTGCGAAACCGCTGTGACGCCTCGGCAAAGTCCAGCACAGCCTGTACTGTCTTGGCTCGCGAGACGGTGTCTGGTTTACCTTTCTCACCTTCGGTTGAGCCTCCCAGCAGACTCGACACGCTGTTGAGCGCATCTTCGACTCTTTTCTCAATTCACTCCGCAGCTCTCGCAGGTTTCGACACTCCAGCAGCACGTGACTGACCGTCTCCTTTGCGCCGCACTCGCATAGGTTATCGTCGCGGAAGCCGAATTTCTTCGCGTAACTGGCTAGCAAGTTGTGGCCCGTGCGTAGCTGGGTCAGCAGTAGACCTCGCCATATTGCTTTTTCGGGTACCCATGGGGTACCCGCTAGTGATGGTGTAATAACGAAATTGGCCAACTCATTACGAAATCTTGAAATTTCAATTTTTTCCTCCTTTCAATTACATTTCAAGGGGCTTCAGCTTGATGAGTCATCATTAACGGTGAAAGCTTTCAGCCAATAGGAGCCCGCGATAAAAGGTTCTGCCGTCTCATCTCTGTCTAGAATATTTGCTGTAACTCCTAGCAACAGCTGCACAAATATATATCCATAATATGTCCGGGATGCTCTCACCCCTTCGTAGTTACATGTTCTCGGAAATGGCCGACAACTCTTCTGACAAGGTCTCTTACACCGAGCTAGAACTTCAAAGGTGCTTTGAAATCATACAGGGGAATAAAAAGGTAAGGACTGACTCGCTAAATCCAACCTGTACTCCCCTAACTATGGCTAGGTGCCCCAAGCAAAATGCCTCGGATGCTTTAAAATTCGCGCCAAAAACACGACTCGTCAGAGTGAGCACGTTAATAAATGCATCAAAGCACAGGCTCTGATGGATCCTGAGACCGCCACGGGGAAGAAACAGAAACTGCTAAGTTTTTCTACTTCTCAGCCATCCCGGGGTATTGATCAGCTAATAGCCCAGGTCTGCTTTACTGGAGCCAGGCCATTTAATCTCTTTGATCAGCAAGAGATGCGTGACCTCATCTATGCGTTAAGTCCAACGTATCAAATCCCTTCTCGACACCGAATCGCCGATGATCTGCTGGATGAAGCATACCATGGACTACAGCAGGAGGTGCTTAAGGAGCTGCGAAGAACCCAGTTCCTGAATGTGACGGTGGATGAGACCACTAACATCCGATCTCAGCGGGTGATTGTGATGACTATAACAACGCCGACGAAGTCGTGGTTTATTCATCTTAATGACATGGAAGACAAGACTCTTGATGCTCCTGCTATTAGTAGTTGGATCTTAAACAGGCTCCAAGGCATCCTATTACAGCTAGACAAAGTCGTTGACTGGAATAGGATCAATTCTATTTCGACAGACACATGTCATGTCATGAAATCAGTCTGGGAGAAACTGGAGGCAACCCCAGAACTCAGACACTGCTTTATGATTCCCTGTGACTCTCACGGCCTACAGCTAATTATGAAGGATATCGTTGATCCTAAGTCCTCAAAGGTTCCACGGGCGAAAGAGGTGTTTAGGTCTGCCCTTGAAGTTGTTGTCTTCTTCCACCACTCACCACTTGAGTACGCAAGGATGCAAGCAAAGCAGATTGAGAAGTGGGGCCATAGAAAGGCGCTTATTGCGTCGGTCATTACACGATGGGGAACGCAATATAATATGCTGTCATCACTTCATGATTGCCAAGAAGCCATCTGCGAGTGGACTCTCGCAACTCCTGCTGCTTCGACTACAAGGGGGAGGGAGATCGTTCGGACTGCTAACTCTCATTCTTTCTGGTGGCAACTAAAGGAGTTGATCAAGATACTTAAGCCTCTGCATATAGCCCAGAAGGAATCGGAAGCTCGGAACTCGTCAATCATGGAGGTAACGCAACGGTGGTTATATCTCCATGAAAGTCTGCGAACGCTGGCTTCCCAAACATCCCTCAAGGATGACTTTTTATCATATCTGGATGGCATAGGCTGGCAAAGTCGTATAACGCGTCAGCTAGAGCCTATTCACTGGGTAGCTTATCATCTTGACCCTGCTAGAGTCCCTGGAAAAGTTGACGAGAGCTCTCGATATCACATTGAAGGTGTTCTACGGCCTCTTCAAAACGAAGATAAAAGCTCGTCTGCTTGGCACGAATTTCTGTCGTTTCGGCAGAAGACAGGTGCATTTTATAATGCTTCTTGCTGGAAGGCTAACTGTCCATCTCTCTTTTGGCTTGAAGCCGTAAGTCGAAGCTTTCAACTAGAGAGAAAAAATACTTATCATTAAGATCCATTTATAGGCGGACTTTGCTCCTATTCTTGCTCCTTTTGCCCGTCGTCTTTGCAACACTGTGGCGAATTCCGCAGCAGCGGAGAGAGCCTTTTCACAAATGAACCTTCAGCACACAAAAGTCCGGAATCGGCTCGAGCCTCACCGCGTTGAAAAGTTGCTCTTTGTCCAGATCAATAAACGACAATTCCGGACAGAACAGCCTCCTAAAATCACCCAAGAGTTCCTTCTTGAGGAAGAAGACAACGAAATAGAGAGGGTTTTGCAGCGTAAGCAGGTGCAGGACCATCTATCAGAGGGTTCTGTGACTTCGGATACTTCATCGAATCCCGCATCTAGTCCTACGCCAAGTCCTACGCCTGGTGTAGGGTCGAATGTCGTGTCAACTTTAGACATAAATCCCGACTTGAATCCCGAGCCAGAACCTGAATCAAATTCGGAACAAGATCCAGAACCAACTTCTGCACCGAATTCTGCACCGACTTCTGCGCTAGTTTCCGCGTTGAATTCTGCGTTGAATTCAGCTTCAGGTTCTGCGAATCCTGCCCTGGTTTCTGCGTTGAATTCGAGGCTTAACTCTTTGCTTAAGCCAAATTCGGAGCCTCTCCCGAGTCCTCCAACGACATCTACGCCAAATTCAGCTCATCCCATACGCCCGAGCTCGATCAGAACCAGTACTGATAGAACAGTTGAGGTTGGCAACACTAAAGGGAAGAAGCGTTTATCTGAATGGCCTCAAGGAGTTGCAGAGCATTGCGAGCAGCCAGCTCAACGGCGGGGTGTAAATAAAGGCTGATGTCGATTTCACGCCCTCCGCATTTAGGGTTCTGATTGGTAGCAAATAAAATAAACCCTACCGTTTACGGAATAGCTCGATTTCAAGATTTCAAGGCCCATTTCAAATTTCATTTCAAGAGGCCAAATTACAGAAATTTCGAAATATTGAAATTACATTTTGCCTTCCCTAGTCAAGGGAGGAATGCGCTCTCCCTAGTGAGAAGCGGCCGGAAGGGATGGGTTTTGCCTGGTAGCGCGGCCTCCTTGGCGAGTCGACCCGCGGTATCATTTCCTGGGTTTTCACAGTGCCCGGGCACCCATTGGAGGCCAACGGACTAGCCCTTTGCATCGAGCCCGGCACCCCTACCCGCGGGCCAAACACCATAGACCTCGTCTTCTCGGACATCTCCGTGGAAGCTACAGCAGAGGACCACCTCTCTTCCACGAGTGACCACGCAACGATACTAATAACAGTAGACTGGCATAGACTGCGCCAAAAACCGCAATTGGGGGCAAACCTTGCCCCCAAAAACCATCGATTCAAGATGTAAAAACCAT